ACTACATGGTATAACTAACTGTAAAGGTTAGGGCAGTGTCACACATGAAATTGGCACTAAATTAAACATGAATTCACTTTTCAATAAATCTCCTTAATTTACATATACAAACAGAGAGACCCTCAGACAGTAGATAGAAAAAGAGACATCTAGGCCATACACCCACTTGACCAAGCCCTCTGAAGAAAGGTCTTGAGCTGAAAAGCTATATGCCACATGAAATAGGAAGCGAGGTTATCTGGCACTGAATAATTTATCAGCTCCCTTTCCTCTCCTTCCCTTCCTCGTTAGAGACAGGCAGTCTGTGTCTTTGTATCCCTGTACCCAGGACAGCACTGGACAGAGGTTCAGGAAGCTCTTGCTGAAACCAATTGCTTCTTTTTAATTCTTTTTCTCTAAAAGCTTGAGAACAGGAATAACATTTTACTGCATTGTAATTCTTCAAAGTCTTATAGATGAGATTCTCAATGGTTATTTGATGCTTGATTTTTGGTGAGTTATTTCTACTAGGAGGTTATCCAATAGTTAGGTGTGTCCTCTTAGCCATGGTGTAACTTGTCAAACATGACATTGCTATTTGCCTAAGAGAAAATACTCATGCTTTATTATCACCCTTTGCATTCATTTTTGAAAAAAAATATAAAAAAGTGTAGGTATCAAATGTAGACTATTAACTGGAGAAGGCAACAGCATTTTTAGCACTATTTTGAGAACCCAATTATCAACTAATGAGTTGTTGCTATAGTCTGAGAAAACCATTTTTAAATAACCAAAATAGGAATAGGAAGTACTGGATTTAGAATGTCAGATTCTAAATGCTGGACAAAAAGGAGTTCATGAAAGTAAAGATTCTATCTTTCCTGTGCATTTTAATATCCACAGGGTCCAGTACAATTTCTCGCACAAATCAGCTAAGAGTGGATGCATGAGGGAATGCAAGGCAATCTGCAATGAGTTCTGTAATCCCATGTCCTGACTGGAGGGAATGAGAAAATGGACCTGAACATTGTACTTGGAGGACTGGACAAAGGACTCAGTAAAGGGAGGGTATTTCAGGTGATGTTTTATACTTCAAGTTCTGTATTATTTTCACATTTCACATTAAAAACTCATTACTGGAGGGTACATAATATCATATCAGATATAAATTGTATTTTCATATAAATAAACTGAAACTCTAATTGAAAACTTCACATGAGCCCAAATGTCAACTCAACTTCTATTTTATATATATAGCTAAATTGACAGAATTGAATTCCCTTCCTGGTTCTATTTCCACGTTCTCTCTGTGTATCTCAGGAAGCTGGTTAGGCACGAAGCAACAATATAGAAGACCAAAACATAATGCTTTAATTTTAGAGAACAATGAGAGTAATTCAGACTCATGATAATATGAGAACAGTTCCACTGATTTGCATTATATAGAAAAATATGTCTTGGAAAGTATGTCAACAAAATACAAAAAAACCACACAAAACAGATGTACCACAGCAAGGAATCCCATTTCCATTTTTATTGGACATATTTACTAAATTCACCCACACTGTATAACAACTCATGCATAATTCTGATGAGCTGTTACTTCCTTTAATTCAGCCTTTTAAGTTGACATGCTCTCCTTAAAGTGACATTGATAGAATGTCAGTCACCTTGGAGAGCTGGAGGAGAGGGCCATCCCAGAGGCTGTAAACCACCCTCGCAAGAACAAGAAGATCTTAATTAAGCATCCTAGGCAATGGCAACCCCTCTTCATCTTTGCCACTGAGACTTTCTGCCGGAAAAACACCCGTACTCCCTTGAAGAAGCCTCATTTCCATTTAAAGACTGCTATCCCCAAGTTGCTTCTAGCCACTCATTCCCAATGTATATGAATTCGGTCCAGGCTCCAATCCCAGCACGAAATCAGTTAACAAGCATTCCCAATGGGGGATCTTTCCTACTTGGTGTTCCCCGGAACTCCATAAGGAAAACGAAAAATGTCTCTGCCTTCCTTTTGAGCTGAGGGGCAGCTGGCTTGCCATCACCCTTAGGCTGAAGAATTGGACTTCCCAGGGCAGGTGGGTTTTGATTCCACAGAAAGACTCTCCCTGCTAAAGACTTCATTTAAATCAGCAGCTTCTGAGTCACAACTTAGCACCTTCCAACCTGAGGACCAGCAGAGCCCGTCTATTAAATGACAGGCCTCTCCTGCTGTTCTCAGGGGCAGATGGGCTCCCCGTCAAAATGAATTCCTCACTGACATCTTGTAGGACAGATATTAATTTGATTAATGGCAAAAATGAATGAGAGCATTTTTCACAATGTATCCAAGACTAAAATCTCTTGTAATTCATTAATGTAGCCACTTCTGTAGTTCTTGTGGCACACATATTAAAGATAAAAGTACATATATACACACACATGCACACAAGTATATTTAAATGAATTTAAATTCATTCTACTTAAAATATTTTTTCCCCTCCCTGACAGGCACTAAAAGCCAATTTGTGAAAGAAGTTGGAGGTAATTTCCCATGCCACAAATCAAATATGCAATTCCAGCTTGTGGCGAATCCTTGTGTATTTTGCTATGGGGATAATGACACTAAAGGATGCATAGTTTAAAAGGTTTGTATTTTAATTTTTAAAATGAGTCAAGCGCTAACCACTCTCCCGTTTACCCCTCCTGTACAGTTTAAGAAGCCTAATAGTGCACAAACACGCCGAGAGCAAGGATGAAACTGAAAAGGGCACAGCACACACTGCAGTCTAAAGCAAAAGGCTGGCACTCGGAGGGGAAGGGCTGCGCAGGGGAGGCTGTCTGACGGCAGCAATACGTTTATCAGGGCACACAGACACTTGCAGGCATAAAACAATTCAAAAACTAGCAGAAACAGGGATTTAAAAATTTGCAAATTCAGATTCACAGAAAATTGGAAAACTGAGTTGAAAGAGTTTTGAATGGTACATGCTAGGCTTAAAGCCTTTATGATTTGCAGAAAAGTGGGTGGCAGGAATGACAATTCTGCAGTGTTACCACCAGGCAAATAGCTACTTGAAACCTTCTGGCTAACACTAGAGTACAGAAGCCAGTAATTTCAGATTAACAAAGTGGAAAAAAGTCTATATATTCAGGGAATGACAGGGATGAAACTTGTAGAAAACAAGGATAAAATCTCTAAATAAATGTCTTAGCTACCTTCAATAAAAGAATTTGCATTTATAACAAGTAATTACATGCAGACCAAGACAGACAACTGGCTCCCCTTTAATCCAACATGCCCTTGGATGAAAAGGTAATAGACAAAACTTTCAAACTGTATTTTTAAATGTGCTTTAGCTGAAAAACGTTTCAATATTTCCTCGGGAATTCTGTTCTTCAAAATCACATGTTCTCAATATCAAACATAACTTTACATTTTTATTAACCTGATCTCTTGAAAACTTAAAAGGCACCAGGAAACATCTTCAAGATGTCAGGTGACAGGGAACTATGAGTTCTTTAGAGTCTTTGTTTTATAAACACACTGGGAAAATATAGGAAATACGGTCAAAGAAAGTCAGGCTGGAAGCAAATGGCAAGATAACTAGCAGAAAGAGACGTCTGCAAAATTTTCCATATTAACTGCAGAGGAAGATTTTCCTGGTTTGTTTTCTAAGAAATCCTGGTTTAGAGCTGATATATCCAACATGGCAGCTGTTAGCCACTAGTGGTTTATCAAATCTCAATGAATTAAAATGAAAAATTCATTCCCACAGTTCCACCAGCCACATTTCAAGTGTGTGACCAACAGACAGCAACATATGGACCATGGCTACTGTTTGGGACAGGGCAGATACAGATACAGAGCATACTGTCACAAAGCACTACTAGACAGTGCTAGTTTAAAGGAAGAAGAAAGGAGTTGGAGGAAGGAGAGAGAACGACTTCATTTAACACATCCAGAAAGTGGGAACAGTAATCCTGCTATCTTTGGATGATAAGAATTTCTTTTGAAAATGAAAGTGTCTTTTTTTCCCAAAACTAAAATGTGTAGAGCCTTGATTATGCTAGAAGGCTCTACATGCTTTGCATTATATCATTTTATTTAATCTTCAGGAAAACCGTTTAGGGTAGGCAGTATTACACTCCATATTTCTCAGACAGTGAGGCTCGGAGGCAGCATGTGAATCATCCAAGATCACACACCGAAGGCCTGATTCCAAGCACATTTTCTCTCTCAAAAGCCACAGCCCTTCAGGCTGCATGCAGGATCTGCATTTGAGATGGAGAGATGGTAGCAACACACTCTAGCTGTTATCATCAGACACCCTATACCAATAGTGCTGGGCTACAGCCCACATGGAAGCTTGTCCTATTTTGACACTCTTGTCTTTTGGCCTAACATTTTCTTGTTGTTGAGCATAATTATTTTCTATTAACAATGGAACACTACTGCTCTCTAATTCTAGTCTCATCTCTACTCTCTAGTCATTCACATCAGAGATGTTTAAGTCTAGCCATTTCTTTCCATATGTTTTTCATGACGGGTCCTGAGCCAGCTCAACAGCTCTCAAGTTTCAATTGGTAACACATAGTAGTCACCACACAGGGTATATTTGTTGTTCACACATACAGGTATGGGTACTATTAAATATTTTGTTAATACTTAATGACTCCACATTGCAGAAAGAAATCCTAGTTGTGTAAAGCATCCAATTTGCTAAAGACCAAGCTAAGATAAACAATGTTTCCTCTTAAACAAAAGTCGTGCTGGTCCAGGTGAATCAGACAGGTGTTCTTCCCTTCAGTTTATGAAAGTTCACCTTTTATGTAGTGAGGGTCCCATTAGATTGCATATAAAATTATACTCATCATTTATTGCATATCAATAGCTTTTTAGACTCTCTTTTGCAATTGCTCTAACGGCTGGCATCCCAACAATGCTGTGGAAGGTTCACATGACCACATGCCTAAGGCCCTTGCAGGAGCAGTTAGGGCAGCCTCCTGCTATGAGGCTACCAAAGGCCTTCCAGCCTTACCTCCGGGGTGAGCCGTCATCATGAGGCTGGATGATGACCACCTTCACAGTCACAGAAGTCCGCAGCAGGTCGATCATCTGCTCGTGGGTCAGAGTGGCCACGGCCACTTTGCAGATTTCCACAAGGCGGCTACCTTGGCGAAGACCAGCCTTCCAGGCAAAGCCAAAAGGTTCCACATCTGCGACGATGCCTTCAAAATTCACATGGAAGCCGAGCTGGCCCAGCCCATTCCTCCTCAGGGTCATTTCCACAGTCTCGCAGCCTCTGGTCACTATCTGAGGGGGAAGCAGATTGTCAGAGACGTCCTCCCTTCCAGCCTGGGCCTCCATGAGGCCCCAGCAAAGATGCACGTACAGGTCCCCTGCCAGCCTCTCTTTCCTCGACCAACACAGCTTAGAGAGTGCCCATGTCCCTGTCTTCCCTCAGCTGACTCAGCTGACCAAGGACAACATAAGGATGTACTTAATTTCAGAATTCTCTACAATTTAATCTGGCATCCTACACAAATAAAATAACAGTACAACCATGGGTCATCCTTCAAAGGATACAAGTGTCCTGCTTTTTCTTAGGCAACAGTGACCTACAGCTTGGGTACCTAAGATAGGCTCTGGTGACCCCCTCCACTCAGGTTGTATCAACAGGCGTGGCTCTTAAGCATCCAAATTCCATTGTTCTAGACAGATTATAGCAATGGGGGAAAAAAATGAAAAGACTTTGAAAGCCATTGCAGGTTTCAAGCATTAAATACTAAAATCTATCAATCAATTTCACTCAACTTAAAAAAAAAAAAGCATATCCAAATACTCAGGGCCTGCTTCTGAGTTCACTAAGGGCAATAGCAGAAAGTCAGAATGTTAAAAAACATTCTTAGTCTCTCCTGTATCCTGGAAGTCCGTGTATGTCCTGTTTTGTCACCTCAGACTCCTCTCCAGGGGAGTGACTGCCTAAACTTGTCTGGGTGTTGAGGACCCCTCAGATCAACCGTGGACAGGCCAGCCAGACTCCTTGGCCATCTGTGAACAAGGGAGCCTGCCGGATGGTGCTCTTGCAGGCAGCAGAGACCCTCTGTTGTCTTTGGGCTGCTTCTCCCCATCACACCCATCCCCTTGGGGTTAAAGGCAACCCCGAGTAGTGACAGTTCCAGCGACCATCACTTCCCCAAGAGTGGGAGTCTAGCGTAGGACTGTGAAAGGGAACATGAAAGAAAGGTAGTTTGCATCCCACTCAGTGCACTGAAGGACCAGTAATTAGCTAATGCAATCCTCCAAAGTGCTTACTGAGACTGCAGTACAGTTTACAATGCAATGAAAGGAAAACATAGGCTCATTAAATACCAGCTGATGACTATGACCTCACTTATTTGTGGCAAATTTCAAGTTGTGAGGTATCACAACCCCTATCCCCAAAAGCCCAGAGGCAATGTATGAAGTTTCAGTTTAATAAATGCTCCATTTCCCCGAAACCTGCTCTGAATACACAGATACCTATTTAATAAGACCTATGCCTGCAAGTATAGCTATGGGACTAGGACGGCTCCCATGGATCACCATTGTGTCTGCTGTTTCCATGGTTACCACAAGTACATACACTGCCAATCAGCGTCTCCTAGACAAGCATGACAGTTAAGGATTCAGCAAGATGGGGAAAGGGATTGCTGGTGAAAGACAGTGATGAAATTCTGAAAGATTGAAGCTTCCAAAGTTATGAACGGAACTAATTTAAAACTGCTGAAAAAGTACTTCAGTAATATGTACAACCAAATAAATTTGTCTTTCACTCCTTTTCCAAGTTTGCTCCAAGCAACCTAACCAAAGACTACTCATAAAATGTACCCCGAGTTTTTCCAAATATTAATGCAATTGTTAGCTGAAATATAATATCTATATATTAGACTGAAGTGTGTCTGGCTCGGCTTTCCCAGAGTCCTACAGATTCTATCTCTCCTCCTTTTCCTCTAACCACTTACAACTCCCTTACTTTGGCTTTCTGCTATTTCTTTATCCTCCTATTCTTTGTTTCTTAACACCCCCAAAGTCTGAAAAGTCACATTTGCCACACATCTGACTCTCCTAACATACTTGTATGGATTCAATTATCATGCCCAAACAATGGCCACCTATTTGTGTGCCCAGGACACATGAATAATAATAATAATTTGTGGGCCCTTTATTCTAAAATTACATAGAATTTGAAGAAGGGGACAGCGGAAGGTGCAGGTCGCACACCAGTGAAGCTGGTGCTGACCATTCCTTGAGGTGCAGCTGCTCTTATCTCCTCTATCTTTATCTACCTAACAGCCACCTTTCATTCCACCATCCCCATGGAATGAGCAGCCAAGCAGGTACTCACTCCCAACAACTGCACTGTGTGCGTGTCCTCTTTCTTCCATTCTTGATGTGACTACGCTGCACCAACCTGCATGTTCTCCTCCCTTCACTAGACTTTGGGTTGGCTTGCTTTCAACAGCTCATGTTGCAAGTCATCCGATACACAGAAATGATCTCCTCATATTCCTGCCATCAGGTGCCTTATTCACATAAACAGCACAGTCACTTTTCTAAGAAAGTGGTGGGATGGAGTCCAAGGAATAGGGAATGTGTTAAGAACTCATGTGTAAATACGTATAGGTAATGCGTTTACGTGGCTGATGAAGTAGTATTTGTGTTGTGTTTTCAGGAGCACAGACTATGATGACTCAGTGGATATACTAAAAAGTATTTGCAATAACCAAAAGCACAATTTATCTTGAGACTCACAAGTATAACTCAAGAGTCAACTCTTTAGGCACACAAACTAATCATGCACTTTTTTTTTTTAAGGATTCACTTAATTTATTTGAAAGGCAGAGTTAGAGATACACACACACACACAGAGAAAGAGAGAGAAAGAGAAAGAGATATCTTTCATCCACTGTTTCACTCCCCAAATGGCTGTAACAGCAGTGGCTGGGCCAGGAGTCTACACGTGGGTGCAGGGGCCCGAGTACTTGGGCTGTCCTCCATTGCTTTCCCAGGTGCATTAGCAGGGAGCTGGATCAGAAGAGGAGTAGCCAGGACTCGAACAGGTGCTATTGTGGGATGCCAAGATTGTGGGCGGCTGCTTAACCTCCTATGCCACAGCACTGGCCCCTAATCATGTATGTAATCATCCCTAAATGTCTATCTGTGTTTTAACATGTACCCTTGATAATACTATTGAACACACTGAGGCCCTCAACTGTAAACAGTGTCTGTAAATAAGGAGATTGTTTTTTCAATGATAGCAGACATTGTCCTGGTTTTATTCTCTCTTACATAGAGATTCTAATTAAAAAAAAAAGACATATTTGGTGGCAAAAAAAGGGTCAAGAAAGGATATAATTTCTCCTTTTTTCCTGATCTATAGTTGACTTACCCTTTTTTTTTAAGATTTTAAAAAATTTTTATTTGAAAGGCAGAGTTACAGACAGAGAGAGGGAGAGACAGAGAGAAAAATCTTCTTATCCACTGGTTTACTCCCCAAATGGTCGCAAAGGACAGGGCTGGACCAGGCCGAAGCTGGGAGCCTGGAGCTTCTTTAGGATCTCTCATGTGGGTACAGGGGCCCAAAGATTTAGGCCATTCTCTGCTTCTTACCCAGGTGCATTAGCAGGGAACTAGATGGGAAGTAGCGCAGTTGGGTCTCGAACAGGTGCCTATATTGGATGCTGGCACTACAGGTGGAGGCTTAACCCACTATGCCACAACACCATACCCTAAACCTTTTCTGATTAATAAAAAAAAATACATCTTCCCTAGGGTAAGGTTTACCTGAAAAATTTTATTGCCTTTATATGTCTCCTTCATAACTTATCCAAAACAATTAAAATTAGAAATAGTTTTACTTATTCTTACTACCCTTGTACAAACTCAAACTGAAATCTGAACTTTGTTAAACTGGGAACAGAAATAAGATGGCTAAACATCAGAACTTCGGGACTTTGTGGTAAAAAATCACATTTAAAAAATAACCTTTCTTAAGACTGATTTTTATTTTTAGTCTTTCTTTTTACACAAAGATTCATTGACTTATTTCAAAGGCAGAGTTACAGACAGAAAGAGCAAGAGACACAGCCTTCATCTGCTGGCTCACTCCCCAAATAGCCACAAGGGCCAGGGCTGGGCCAGGAACTCCATCTGCTCTCCCATGTGGACACAAACCGGACTCAAGTGGATGCTGGCATCCCAGGCAGTGGCTTAACCCACTGTGCCACAATCGCTGGCCACCATTCTCAGTCTTTTAAGTTAGGGAGTAACTACAAAACCTCCTTAGGAAGGGTGGTGCTGTGGCACAGTGGGGTAAACTGCTGCTTCAGACACCGACATCCCACGTTGGCGGGCTGGATCGAGTCCTGGCTCCTGCACTTCAGATTTAGCTCCCTGCTAATGTGTCCTCAAGTGCGTGTGCCCCTTTCATCCATGTAGAAGGTCTGGATGGAGTTCTAGGCTCCTAGCTTTAGCCTGCCCTAGGCCTGACTATTGTGGGCATTTGCAAAGTGAAACAAATGAAAACCTTTCTCTGTCACTCTGACTTTCAAGTAAAATAAATTAACAACAACAAAAAAAACCCTTAGGAAATTATGGCTAGAAGATTAACATGTAACCTATTTAATGTATTTACACAAAAATACCTGCTGTATAAACACATACAGAAATGAAGCTGCAAATAGGCCTCAGGTATTCACATAATCAATAGCAAGTTTGTGCCTATTTATTACCCACCATCAAAGTATGTCCTTTCAGTCGCCATAAATGCAAAATATTTGGATTTGTGATGGGTGCTTTGCCACCATTCTGTAGTCAGTGACTGCTCAAAAGGATCCAGCACTAAACATTAAACTGAATCCTTAATGAAGAGTAGTTCATTCCTTAGGTGTTGGGATCATGATAGGATTTCCCTGGTGGAAACTATTAGACATATGGAACTGAGACGTAAGGACAACAGAAAACATAAAATATGTACTTACTACTAATCGGTGAACAATTTCCCTTATGTCTTCGGAACAGTTATCCACTGAGGACAGGAGGATACATTCTCCTCTTTCATAGAAAACTTTGATACTCATTAATCCAGACGTCCACCCAATAACATCCCTGCAGGAGCAGTTAAATACAACATTCTTGGAATCTTTTTCAATCAACATTATGAACTCATTGGAAATCCCAAGAAGACATTCGATGTCAGCAGACTGGCCAAAGTCCCGTGCTATCACGTGCCACATGATTGCACCAATGCTAAACAGATGGGCATCCTTCCTTGGCTTTACTTTCTCCTTCTTCTTTGCACCCAGCGTGATGAAGCTGAATTTCACAGAGGTATCCACAGTGGCAGTCGTGACAAAGTTCTCCGCCAGATCTTTCAAGTACTCTTGCCTTGTTCGAGTGGCCATTGCCCGGAATTTTTCTGACTTATGGGCTGCATTTTCTGCATTGATTACTTTGGCTAAAAGGAAGTCCCGAAACACTGCAGATTTTGGGAAAGTCACACCTTTGGGGATTGGTGGACCAAATGGTGGCACATCTTTTGATCTGGAAACTCCAACACTGAGGAAGAAGAAAGAAAAATGAGATAAGCTTCGATATTATATTTACCTCCAGCAATTTAACACCGACTCCCACGTTTAAGTGTGAGTTAACTCAAGTTAGCCCACCTATGTCACAGGTTTTTCTTCTTGTAATTGCTACATACCAAGTTTTCTTGTTTGTTTTAAGTAAAACTTTTTTTCAAATGTACTTGAAGGTGGGGGTGTTATGAGTTGAGTTGTAGTCTACTCAAAATTCCAAAGTCGAATTCCTAACCCCCAAACCTGTGGATGTAAATGTATCTGAAAATAGGGTCTTAAAGAGGTGATGAAGTCAAAATGAGGCTGTTTTGGTGGGCCCTTATTCAATTGACTGAAGTCTTCATAAGAATAGGAAATTAGGGCATGTAAAGAGACAGTAGGGATGCGTGTACAGAGATATGAAGGCACAGGGAGAAGGCAGCCATCTCATGCCAAGGATGGAGTCCTCAGGAGAAACCAACCTGGCTGGCAACTTGATCTTGGACTTCCTGTCTCCAGATCCGTGAGAAATACAGGCTTGTTGTTCCAGCCACCCAGTGTGTGGTACCTGTTAAGGCAGCCCTAGCAAAGAACTACAGGAGACAATGGATCCACAGCAGGATGGGATACCAGTTTGAGATGGTGCCAGGTTGGCAGTCTGTAATTCTGTGGTTATCTACTACTGAGCAAGATGGTAACACTCTAATAGAAGTGAGTTTGGGGGGCTGGCACTGTGGTGCAGTAGGTTAATCCTCTGCCTGCGGAACTGACAGCCCATATGGGTGCCGGTTCTAGTCCCGGCTGCTCCTCTTCAACCCAGCTCTCTGCTATGGACTGGGAAAGCAGTAGAAGATGGCCCAAGTCCTTGGGCCCCTGCACCCACGTGGGAGACCCGGAAGAAGCACCTGGCTCCTGGCTTCGGATCGACGTAGCTCCGGCCATTGCGGCCATTTGGGGAGTGAACCAAAGGAAGGAAGACCTTTCTTTCTGTCTCTCCCTCTCACTGTCTGTAACTCTACCTCTTAAATAAATAAATAAAATTAAAAAAAAAAAAAAAAGAAGTGAGTTTGGTACCAGTTGGATCTCAATAGTACAGGACAGAATGATCACATTTACAGGATCAGAATTTTTAAGTGTCGTTGTATTAGGGAAATGCTCTTATTGATCAGTTTTTAAATCTAAATGCAAGTTTTATAGAAGTAAAGCTTTAAGAGATTCAAAGAAGGATAAAGATCAAATATACAGCAATATTCACAGTCACCTTAATACAACAAAACCACTAATGGTCCACTATATCAGAGAGCAGCTTTAGTTACCTCAATCCTTTTTGAACAAGCAAATTGGTGAATTAACAGAAAAGGATTAGAATATGTAAATGAATGAAGCCCGCAGCACATAGAGAATCTGCTCCCAGATTACTGAGTGTATAGTGCAGACCAAGACTTGTACTAATCCTTCATCTGCTCAGATGGATGTTTTCTACATCAGGATAAAGGAAATAAGGCAATCTGTGTTTTGATCCTTGCTGAAAATTATAAAATAAATTAAGTAATGAAGATATTCTGTCCAAATGAGTTGTCAGATGCAAACTCCTCTTCTGGAATGTGGGTGGTTAAACAGTTAAAAGATCCTAGTCCCCAGGTATGTCTCACTTTTGCTTTCATCCACATACTCTTCAGTAGTCATCACAGCAGGATGGCTGGCTGGCTGGCTGGGGCTTTTGCTGTTATTAAGACAGGGCAGAGTGTATTCCTTTGGGACAGATGCAGCAAATTCATTTAGGAATAGGGTCTCTCTCGTGGTGCTGTTCTGTAGTTTGTGCACTAAACCCAAGGGAGAGGTTGGCAGACCTGATTCACATCTGTGATATGCAAAGAAGGTCTTCATGTTGCAGAGGCCGATGCTTCTGGACCCCACACTACAAATGATTCTTCCTCCCTCACTGCCATCTGTAGCATGGACATTCTAGATGAACTCATTTGGCTTCCACTTGGCAACTCCAGGAAAGTGGTACCTGTTTGGACTCATGATATTCTAACCACACCTGTGCCTTTTCTTCTCTCTATTGCCAGTGAGCTCAGACAGCATCCAGCACTGGAACCCACCCTCCTTTACACGGGGCAAAATAACCTCATGTATTCCATCTCCTTTCTAGCTCTGTCTTTCAGCAATGAGCATAGATTCCCAGGAGCATTTTACCCATGGAGTGGTGAAAAGGCTAAATCTCATCTGACACTTTGGAGCATTATTTTTCTGTATTTAACTCTGTGGATCTTGCACCACTCACTCTCTGACTGCAGCTTGCATTTAAGTTAAAGCGTCAGAGAAAATTTCTTACATTTAATAGGCTCAAAAGCAGCTTTCACCGTGGAGCTACATAGTGGGTAGAGGAGATATAGTGTCTGTATCTTTTAAATAGGAGATTCTTTTTGTATCATATTATAGACCTGAGTACCTAACTGGGGACTCTGCAATGTATGCTGTATTCTTGTTCAGTAAACTACAGCCCTGTGCACTCAAGAGTTGTACATGAGAAGCAGCAGAATTTACACAAAGCTATTCCATGATTAGAATAACATTCTGGATATAGGGATCAATCAGAGATCCCTGGATATAAAAATTTATATAACCCTTAACACTTCTTCTTTAGGCCAGAAGGAATATCCTCATCCTCTTACCAAAGTCTGATAATTCTCAATGTGTCAGAACAAGAAGGTGTTTCAGAATTCCTTATTTTAGCCAAAGAACTTGATGGCATTTACTGATTTTACACAGATGGATGTATATCCCTCTCCACCAAGAGCAAAAATAAAAAACATCCCCTGATGTACAGGAAAAGGGTGTTAGTAAGTCTCGTGGTCGAAGCTAATAAAGCAAGTGGTCAAGAGCAGACTTCAGAGCTAGGTGTGCTCAGATGGACTCTAGCTCCACCACTTTCTGAGTTTGAGTTACTTTGCCCTTCAGTTTCCTCATCTGTAAAATACAGGACAAAACAGCAGCGTACTCAAAAGCCCATTGTGAGGATTAAACAAAATAATGCATGGAAAGTTATTACCAAAAACTACAGCTATATCACTAATGATGACAGTAATATCACTATTACTATCATAAACAATCATTATTTTAATAACCAATTTAACTCTATCACCTAGTTTTTGCCAAAAGGGGCTAAATATTAAGTTTTCTAAAATGGCAGTCAACGTTTCTTGTAGATATCTCTCTACTTTTTATTTAAAAAGTCTATTACTGCTATCTACAAAGTCCCTAGAGTGGAATCTTCCCATTCAGCTAGAGCTTACCTTGGAAAGTATACAAAAATATGAATCCCAAAGTGAGATCTACACATTTGCACCAGTGATTAAAATTAAACATTTTTTTAAATAAATAAAGAGACGATCAGTTAAGTTTGTTTCTTAAAAACTTCAGGCTACAATTATGTTACAAAGAACTCTGGATCCAGAATCAGTTCCTGGGCATTCCTCTGCATTCATGGTGGGAGCCTCAGACTCCCGTAGGTGGGAACACACTCCCCTACTCAGGCAGGTACGCTGCACAGGCTGCATAGCTTTCATTACAGGCGGTTATCTCTAGCCCCTCTGGGTTGCTGTAAGACTTATGGATCTGCACTGACTGGTTCTGCAGGTCCTTGTCAGCAAGAACACACCGGTACTCAAAACCTGTGGAAAGCACATGAGAACAGCAGCACTCATGGGAGCTTGCCTATATCCCTAGATTAAGATAGAGCAATTTAAAAACACAGTATACCTGGACCGTATTTTGCCATTTCCTTGAAAATTATGTTCATGAATTTACTGTATCATTGGCATGTTTATAGAGTATCCTGTGAAACAGATCCACAAGGTATTTTTGGAAATCTGGGCCAAACCTTATTCCATGTGACAAAGTGAAGTTTCACAAATGTTACAGAATTGATTAGGCCAGTTTTTGTGAAGGTTATGACTGATTCTCTGATGAATACTAGTAACGATTTTAACATGATCAATGAAGCTGACGAGGCACTTCCAAAAATCTGAGGCACTCTATTGACTTTACAACTGAGTCTCATCAGTAAATGTTAATTTAGTGATAACAACATAGTTTCTTGAAAACCAAGTGACTTTTGTGAATGATATTCTTAGGCTATATTCTGTCCCAGAAAAAAAAAATGCAATGTACTTTCTTTATATATAAAATCACTAGTGGTTTCAAAAACATCCCTCCCATGGTAATTTAATTAAAATCAGAGAATTAAAAAATAAATAAATAAAAATAAATAGATATTACCTATCTTTGCTTTTTTATCCTAATATACTCATGATTAAAGCATAAACTAAAGACAGAAAATAATTCAAAATACTTGACTTGGCCCAGGTTTTAAGATTATTCTTCATAATTATCATGTACTGGTTGAGCTTTCGGAAGGGAAGCCAACTCGCCAAGTATGCACCGACTTAACCTATTTTCAACATATCATTTATACAGAATTGATAGTATATTATTTCAAATAGCATTTTTCTAAAGTAGTCCTGAGCATGTAGCCCAGTGAATCACAATGGGGGGAAAACAGGCAGCTGCTTGGGTTGATTCCAGGTCTATTACATGGAACGCTGCACCATGGGGCCAGACTTTCAATGCTGAACAAGGAGGCCAGGAGGAAGAACTCCTATTAAAACCTGGCGGTTTGAAACTCTAGGCTTTTAAGACAGGTTGGACAATGGTGGAATGTCAGTTGGCAACATTTATTATTTAGACTAGTTTCTTTTTTGCCTTTAGGGGGCATGTCTGCTGTCTACACCTTCCCACCATTCTCTTACAATGAATATTCATGTCCCCAACCTAGGCTCAGTAGGCAGCTGTACTGGCAATTCCTGTTTTAAGATTATAAAGGAAAATAACCTTGGATGAATGCCAAAAACTCCAATGGTATTTTGCATAATTTAAGCTATTTATTCTTCATAACCACATTTTGAATTAGGTGCTGTTATCCTCAATTTTAAGAGAAGGAATCAAAAGGCTAAGAAAAATAACTAGCTCACACAAAGCCCCATGACAAGCAGTAAAGCTGGATTCAAACTCAGGTGAAAGGCCCACTCTCTTGTCAGTACCCGGCATGCATGGTATGATCGCTGAGTTGCAGTCTGTGTGCAGAAGTAGACTGAAAGCAGGCCTCATCAGAAACAGTGTCCGGATTCCAAGGCATATTCATGGCCTTTTGAAGTCATCCAAACAAGGTTCAGCTCCTTATCTCAGCACACCCATGGCAGTGAGTGGTTCCAAGATGCCCAATGAAATGTTTTTTTGCCACAACACTTACTTCTAGAGAAGAACTTAAATGGCCACATTATCCAACTCACAGGCTGATATCAACTATGCTACTGATTCCTGCCACATGTGGTGTTTAAGGAGAAAACAGAAAACGTGGACTTTACATCTCCATTTTGAACTGCTAAGTCTTTTCACTTTTACAAAGGGACAAAATGGGAGGAAGGTATTTTTTTCTTACAGAGAGAATACTTTTTTCCTTACAGAGAGAGTAGCTGACTGATTATAATGAGAAATGTAATTAGAGAACTGTGAGGTTAGAAATAATAACTAAAAAACTGAAACCTCCTGGGAAAAATTGCTGTTAAAATGTGCCTGGGAGAATGACACATCAGGGACTACTGACTCACCTGTAACAAACATTTTCAGTACATGGATTATGCACTTTGACGATGACAAAAACATGCTGAAAGTGAGACCGGATGCTTTTGGGAGTAAAAGGAAGTGCCCCAGGCTCCTGAAAGACGATGGTGACGATGTCATTTCCTATGTGCCTTTTCCTCAGAAGCTGTGGTCAAGAAAGTGAACACACATAAGGTTACAAACAAGTGTATCTCTAAAACAAAATACGTAAATATACGCAATTCATTCAGCTTCCAATTTATAGGAGTGATTTAGAAAACCACAGTCATTCTTTAGTAGCTAGTGCTTCCGAGCGAAAAGAGAAAACTGGGCTGTGTACAAAAGACCTAGGGAAAGAAAAACCTAAAAAATTAATATCTTTTTAATTTTAAAATTCAACTTGTGTTCTCATTATCTTTCATCTATTCAGCTCCTCTCTCTCTCTCTCTCTCCCTCTCTCTCACTCTTTTTAAAAGATTTATTTATTTATTTGAAAGCCAGAGTAACACAGATAAAGAAGGAAAGGCAGAGAGAGAGGTCTTCCCTCTGCTGGTTCAATCTCCAATTAGCCACAATGGCCAGAACTGGGCTGATCCCACGCCTGGAGCCAGGAGCCTCCAACAGGTCTCCTACATGGGTGCAGGGGCCCAAGGACTTGGGCCATCTTCTATTGCTTTCCCAGGTCATAGCAGAGAGTTGGATTGGAAGTGGAGTAGCTGGGACCCGAACCGGTGCCCATATGGGATGCCGGCATTGCAGGAAGTGACCTTACCAGCTGTGCCACAGCAGTTGCCCCTGGTTCCTTATCTTTTTACCCCCAAAATAATAGCAAGTTAGAGCTCAAAGCACTTGAAGAAATTTTATACTATAAGTTCTTCTGTTTAAGACAGACAGTGTCCACGAGGGCGTACAAGGACCTACCTTGTAACCTGTGCAACAAAAACATAAGACTGTCATTTTGGTGGGTAATATATTCAGAATAATTAACCAAAAGCTGGCCCTTTAAAACATATTTCAGAAACACAGAATTCTGTGGGAATAAAGCCTAAAAATCCAATATTTTAAAATACTATAAAGTGCAAGTTTGGCAGGGAAGAAGGAGCCCCAGAGCAGTAACATTTTAACAACGCCTTTACTTTTGATGTTCCTTCTGCTAAGAATGCCCATTTCACCCCAAGTTTCTCTTAAGTAACTCAAGGATCTGCAGAGATCTCACCTCACTTGCAAGAAACCTCAGAGTCAAGACTAAACATGCTGGTGCTCCATCTATACACCCAGGTTTCAACTATTACACTAGTTGATGAGTTCTCTCTTGCCGGATGGTTTACTTCTGCATCAGGTCATAACTTTCAGGAGGTCAGAGATAACAACTTTATTTCCTGAAGTCTAATGGAGTGGTGCCAAGCACATAACTCGCTGGCTAAACAAATATACAAATGATACAAATACAATATTGACAGATAATACTATGCTTTACTATGAGCACATGCCAATAAATCTATGTGCAAAGTGCTTACTAACTTCATACAATTAGGGCATTGACTCTGTGCTTTAAAAGTTAGTGATCTTCAGTTTTAATACATTAAAAAAAACCCTTACCTGAGCTGGTGATGTCACTGGAGTAATGGAACAATCTCAAGTGGTAAATCTCTCTTCACCAGCAGTAACAAAGACAAAGACCTTGCCCTTAAATTTATTTGGCACCTATGGAGCATATTTCATTGTAAAGGGCACTAAGTTCAACTTTTAAAACCTTTTAAAGCAGATACAAAAAGGATTTCATTGTCAGGCCCCTGACTTGTGATTTAGCATGATAAAAGGCCTGGAAAAGGGGAATGAAATGTTCATTCTTTCAGAGTTCTCTACAGGCCAGTTAAATTGCTGATTCATGGGCTGGAAAATTCTGATTTAAATTCCCTTGGTTAAAGTTACAAAAACACAAAAATCATCTTGCTGTCTGAGTGAAGTTTGGAAACATACATTAATATACAATACAGAGACCCAACTGAGTCACCACATTTAAACTTGTCTAAAAAAACTTTAAGATATTTAAATAAAATATGCCACTTCAAATGCATATTAAAAATTAGTCAAAATTATAGTAGGCAAAGACATTCTCCTCTTTCTCAAATACCAGAAATACATGATTCATAGGTATTTTAATGAGATAAGGGAGAATCAGGAACAAAGTGATAGCTAAAATAAAAACACGCCTAACATTGTAATCAATGGGATTTGCAAAATACAAAACACAGTAACTTTTGCTGTTTCCAGGATAATTTTCCATATTAGCCACAACAGGTCAGGCAGTGAGTTCTGAGCGAAGACTGTGTGCCACTTTATGTAGGCCAGCCCTCTCCATCCAGCACACAGTGTCCGGGCAGTCTCATTAGTCACTGCTTCCTGGCTGTTGTTATTACAACAGCAAACTGGGCAGCTGTTCTAACCAATTTCTCTTCTTTCTGAAGGAAGATGTTCAGTCTAACTCTATACTGCACCACAGGAATATTTACAGTTCAAGTGAAAGAAAATTTGAAGCTTGGTTACCTTGACAACATGCCAAGGCACTTTTGTCCTTTTCTAAGCATATTCTCTAGCTTTGTAAAATGAGCCAAAAAATGTTCTTAAAGTCTAGCTAATTTAACCAAAGCATGCACTTTGAAGAAAAAGATTTAGGTGCATTTAGGGTGTTGGGGTATGATAAAGAGATTCATTAAGAGGAATAAAATCGGGGCTGGCACTGTGGTATAGTGGGTAGAGTCACTGCTTGCAATGCCAGCATCTTAAATGGGCACTGGTCCTTGTCCTGGCTGCTCCACTTCCAATCCAGCTCCCTGCTAACGTCCTGGGAAAAGCAGCAGAAGATGGCCCAAGTGCTTGGGCTCCTGTCACCCTCATTGGGAGACCCAGATGAAACTCTGGTCTGGTCTTAGCTGTTGCGGTCACCTGGAGAGTGAACCAGTAGATGGAAGATCTCTCTTTCTGTCTCTCCCTCTCTCTCTGTAACTCTGAATTTCAAACAAATAAATAAATAAATCCTTAAAAAAGAATAAAATCTAAAGCTCCATGAAGGAAAATAAAGTAAGAAAAATGGACTAAAGAAATAAAACTTCTGGAAGGTTAACAGAAATATTAACCATTTTTATAAATTTTGCTAAACATGCAATTACTTAAGCAATTTCTTGGATTTCTTAAAGGCAAATGTTTACTTTAGAAATTCATTTTTTTTTTCAAACCAGTCATTGAAATTCTATATAATCAGAGTTTGGATATGTAAGGGAAAAAGGATGACAAACCATGGACAAGTGCAGACCAGCAAAACACGAAGGCAGTGTTTGTTTTAGGAGTTAAAGGAATGGTATCTTCTGGGACTAACTTGTTTCTAGACAAAAGAAAAAGCCAGTAATGCTTTTTCAGTGCTGCCAAGAGAACCAACTTAGTGTCTCCACTGCAACAGTGAATAAATATTGCACAAATACTTGAAAGATTTACATAGTCAAGTCTACTAAATTTCTAACACTTGATTCGAGTTGTGAAACAGGAATAAGCTCTTGTTGTGACAAGGAAAGTGAAAGTGCAAGTCTTTACCCAAGTCCATGCAAAAGCATACAGATCTGACATAACAGCAAACTTTGGGTTCAGTCTCAACACCTTAAACATACTTTAGGGTTTGACAAAACCAGTTTTGTATTGGTGCAATGGTGAAAAGTAAGTGAAAATAAACACCTGTCTAGCACCCACACTGCGATCAAAAATAGCATAAATCTGAATGAGTTGAGATCTACTAGCCTCTATGCAAATGGCTCATTTGTTAAATTCTTTCTTTTTTAACCCAGGAAGATATATATATTTTGCACTGAACTCAAAGTAAGCTGCATAAAATGAATGCAAGGCAGTCAGGTGTGGTTCAAAGAGCTTCTAAGGGTCAGGGAACGGAAAGCTCATTTGAGGCTGGAAAAGGCCGATCTCCAGAGGCTACACAAAGAAGCAATTCTATATTCCACAAAAAAGCAATCACAAATTCTCAGTCCTCGTCCCTGGACTCAAAGCAAAGCCCTGTCAGTTTGAGTAGGTCTGACAAAAACACCTTTGACCTGGTTCTTTCCTACCTCTCTGACCTTATCACCAATCCCTACACCTCCTGGACAGTCACTTAGTCCCTCCAATAGGCCTCCTTGTCCTATCCAAGGCACTCTGCATTTGCTAATCCCTTGCTTGGACACATTCTCCCCTTCCCAGGGATTGCTGGCTTTTCCCTTGTGGAGAGATGATTCCAATTTTGTGCTACACACACAGGCTCATATACTTTATACTCAAGAGTTTACACCAGCAATTAGAATGATGCCTTGAACTTTAAGAGACATCTAGAGTTTCCTATGGAATGATACGGAGGAGAAAGTAAATGTAGAAAAGCACTCTGAATAATAAATGGACGGCAATCCAGAGTACCACCTAAATACCAAACATCTGTATTTAGAGAAGGAAAGCTGGCCCATCCCCTAAAAAAAGGTAAATGTTAACTAACTACTCTTATATCAGCAGGAAGATCAGGCATAGTTATCTAAAGTTTCAAGGATTCATCACTGATATATCATTTTATATAATCAAGAAGTAGTATCAACAGCAAGAGTAAATGTACAACACAATTGAGCAAAGCTGAATGTTTTGCAAATGGAGAAACAAAAATAAACCAAAAATGTGATTTTTTTCTATGATTTCATAACAAAGTGAAGATGAGAACAGGGTCAAAAAATGTAAGTATCTTCTTTATACCAACCCTCATTTTAAGCAGTAATCCCTATTATTTGGTATAATTCCTGCTTATGGTCTGAGAATAAAACTAATCATGGAACGCTGAGTAAGCATTTTATCCTTCTCAAATCCTCCAAAGTATTATTCATGGCTGAAGCCAAGTGCAGTCAGGACTTGCTCATGGCACATGTGAGGCAGATTGCTCCAGTATTTAAATAGCTCCTGGCAGTATTAGTGAGGGACACAGGGAAGTACACAAACCCTCTAAGGCAGGGGCTAGGAATCTAACATATTAATGTAGACAAAAGTCCTACTTCTATGGTGACAAGTCCATTCTTAGAATGAGACCAGTATCCTTCACATGTAATCTCAGAAACCTAGGGGTATGGTCTTACTCCTTAGGTGCCTCCATGGGGTTTAATACTCCTCCCAACTAGAACTGCATGAACTTCACGCAGGCACTTAGAAAGAAAAAGGCCCATATCTGTTTCTTACATTTGATGAAAAGAAAGCAGCTATGCCAAAGTGAAGTTTAAAGCTAATGGGTAAAATTCTTTCCATTGATGACATCATATGATGGCTGAATCAGGATTTCTTCAGGGAAAACCAGCCTGGGGAAAAGTAAACGGACTGCCCCATGTGACCAGAGAGAGCTGCAGGGCTTCACATATGAAAACAGCAAATATTCCAACAGCAGGATTTCTTAGCATTCCCTCAGTCTGGCTAGATTTTCTTGCACAGTCAGAGATACTCCAAAGATTAAATTCTTCTGCAACCCTGGTGACCTCTCTAATGACTTAATACATCTTGGGATTAGCTTTCAACTTGATTTACAAGAATGAACACAAGAAATTGGATCTGATTTGGATGAGTCTGGACCAGTTGAATAGTCACAAACACCTTGGTACTAAGGAGGCCAACGTTACAGGCACAACTCACGAACATATCAGTTAACTTCACCAAATTCTGCCTCCTCACACTGCATTCATGAGCCCAGCTGCTCATTTCAGATATTTCTGCTCTTGGTATTAACAGAATTTGTGGGCATGGGTGGGGCGGTGAGAGAAACAGAAAGAGTACAATCACAACAAATCTGGGAAGCATACATCCAAATGGCTTCATTTATAGACAAACAGCATATTCTGATAACTTGTGACCAGCAAAATGTTTTATTACATTTCAAAATACAAATAATATTCTGAAATTATTTGTAAATTCAGTCCCTTACTTTCTTAATCATTCTGGTCTTAGTCTTTCATAATAGATCATCCAAAACACTAGTGCTTTATATGTAATGAATTATAAACTAGTAACCATAGTAGGTACACTGTGTGCTTGACACTCTTTTAGGTGTTAATCTAATTCTCATATACCACTACTTAAGAAAGCTTCACTAATTCTTTAACTAATGGTGACTGACTGCCTGTCAAGTTCTGGATATTGCCACAGGTGGCACGGGGTTATCTCAGGTAAGGAAACAGGTACAGTCCCCTGCACCTTCAGACATGAAGGAAAGTAAGTCACAGAAGGCACCTCTCCAGTACAGCGTTCCTTCCCTCTGGGACTGGGTGCTACCCTAGAATCCTTCTCACTATAGGCTCCCAGCAGCTACTGTGGCCGTACAGACCATGCCCTATTATATTATTATCACATTTCTTGAAAGACTAAGAACTTGAATCAAGGCCACAAGGCGAGGGACTGGCGAGACAGGCTTAGATGGCAAGTCTGCTGATTTTGACTTCACACCCCACAGTCGTCTTCTTCACCTTCTGCTTACTTGCCTATATGTTTGGTATATTGAGTGCTCAACAAATCACAAACTGGATCATACCTGTTCCATATATAGTAAGTACAATTAAGACTTATCCCTGTTCCATATATAGTAAGTACAATTAAAAACACAAAACAAATGGTTTTTACTGTTTTGCACCTCTAACTCATTGATGTAATGCCATTAGAAGCAAAAAATGTTAATTCTATAGGCCTTTAGGGTACAGAGATCATAATACATAGTCTCAGCTTTCAGAGATTTTTCTCCTACTCTCTGGTTACAAGCTTATTTTTATTTTATTTTATTTTTTCAAATTTTATTTACCTATTTGAAAGGCAGAGTTACAGAGAATAAGAGGCAGAGAGAGGTCTTCCATCCACTGGTTCACTTACTAGATGGCTGCAATGGCCAGAGCTGAGCTGATCCAAAGCCAGGAGCTAGGAACTTCTTCTGGGTCTCCCACCTTGGTACAGGGGCCCAAGGACTTGGGCCATCCTCTACTGCTTTCCCAGGCCATGGCAGAGAGCTGGATTGGAAGCAGAGCAGCCAGAACTCGAACTGGCGCCCATATGGGATGCTGGCACTACAGGAGGCAGCTTTACCCACTATGCCACAGCGCCAGCCCCAGGTTACAAGTTTAAAACAGAATCATTTACCCTTACCCTGCACACACATCTACACTTTCACTTCCCGGATCTCCAGTATTTTATATGTACACCTTTTAGGAAAGCTCCAGTGAAATAAAGTCAGGGACAGGGAATTCCAAAGCCCACAGACTCAAAGTACACACAGTGAAAGAGGACGGGAAGGCCAGCTGCGGGCTCTGCTGACAGCAAGGACCGCTCTGAGAGTGCCACCTGTGAAACGCTGCGGCCAATTCACTTTGGAGTCCAATGACTCAAGTAATTAGGGAACTGGAAGGGCTTTGTGGTTTGAATACTCGATGGCTGGGGTCAGAAGTCACTGACTCTATTTCTGCTAAAGTACTGACAGATTTTCTTGGCCTGAGTAAGCCCTATCAGTTTTCTGAGCAAGGACTCCCACAGAATGTAATTACTGAATGATTCACAAGGATCTGCTGGACAACTGCACTGGGCTAAATTAAGCTTCTTAATACCCAGTGAATCAGTCTGGCATTATTCCAAATACATTTTTTAAGAGCTAAAAATTCTTTAGGTTAAAACATCCATAAATACATATCTGTGATGGAATGACTGTAAGTCCATTTTATGGAAATATACAGATAGGGAAACTAGAGATAGATTTTCTGAAGGTGGTGGGAAAAATGATGATTACTTAAGAGAATGTTATGGAAAATTCGGGGAGGATAAAGGATTAAGGTAAATATTAGATACAAAATGACCAGAAAATCCAGCTGGCCATTATGATGAGAAGAGAAATGAAAAGAGGAACTGTTGTCCCTAATGTAAGAAGCCTGTTTTTTTACTTTGGTGCTTCTGACAACTAGTGATGATGAAAGAGAGGTAGGTAGTTTCGTTTCTTCTTTGGAAAAAATGCAGAATTTAAAAACATCCTTCGAAATAATTATGCTTCAATCATTTGACCAGTACCTACACAGTAACCCCTATGTAATCCTCAGTGTTTCAATATATTGAGAGCAAAGCAGCAGCAGTTCAGTGACGTCAGAACTGACTTTCCTAGGCATAAAAACAAACTTGGTTCTGACTGTAGATTTAACACAATCGGATCCCTAACTAATCATGCTACGATCAGTTTGAAGACGCTCATATGTGACCAACTCGCTGTAAACAATCTTCAGAAACTCAAGCAGTCCATGTTCTTGGTCTTTAGCTCTAGTACTACAGGTAGGGCCCCAACAATTCCAAACAATATGTGCAGTGGAGCTTTCTCTGCCCTACAGATCCTCTCAACCACTCTCCATCACAGACAACTTTCCATCCCAAACAATCCTCAAATTCCTCTCAAGATCACAGAGTAGACACAGCATTTCAAATATTCCCAGCACAAGAAAAAAAGTCACAATCACTGTAAGAATCACTGCCAAAGAATTTGTTCAATGCATTTCACAGTTATACCAAAAAGTGAGGTAAACCATTTTATGATGTTTTATGTCTCATTCAGATTTTCTAAGAGTCTTAATTCTTAGTAAGTGATGACCCAAAGCATGATATATTTTTATTTTCTCTAAAGTGGTCATTAAATTTTGGTCAATAAGTCCAACTAAAATGATGAAAACTGAATATGGAAAATAGTTGAAAATAGCACCAGTCACAAGGGTAAATAGTTATTTTCTAAAAATAAGTTATTTACTTAACGCAGGAAGTTATCAGGTCAACATAGTTAGCCTTTTTGTAATTAACAGGAGTTGACACTGTTTTAAGATTTCATCTAGTTGAAATCTTTACTTAATATACTTTACTGAATTGATCTTCTGTATATAAAGATAATTGAAAATGAATCTTGATGTGAATGGAATGGGAGAGGGAGCGGGAGATAGGAGGGGTGTGAGTGGGAGGGAAATTATGGGGGGGCATTGTAATCCATTAACTGTACTTTGAAAATTTATATTTACTAAATAAAAAATAAATTAAAAAATATTTTAAAAAAGATTTCATCTAGTAATTAGTAAAAGTGAGTGTAGAAGAGTATCTATGTTTTATAAGGAAAAAGTGTAATAATACTTTTAAAACTCAAATATTTTCAAATCACAGAAGAGTTGAAGATTAGCACTAACCAACACAAAATTGCTAATTCTTTCCAAAAATTGAACTGCATCAATATCCTCCATGTGCTGACCTTACTATAAAAAGGAGAGGCCGAGGGGCTTACCTGCTGTCTGTTGTTGGGCATATAGGGAAGCAGGGTAGACACATGGAACATGAGTTCATAGTCTTTGTATGTGGTGTACAGAGAGTGAGTTCCTGTGGAATCAGCTGAAAATAGATTCATCACAAAATACAAAGTTAGGCAACCACAAAGAAAAATCAAGCTTTAACACTTAGAAGGGTATTTTTACAAAACTCATATTCCAGCAATGAACTACCAGCACCTGGATGCTCCTCTATTGCTCTCACCATCCACACTGCTTACCACTTAACAGCCCAGGACTGGGCCTGGGCGCCTCATTTTCTCTTATCTGCTCTCCCCCACATACATTCTATGGAATGCAATGTTTGCTCTCTTTTCTTCTCTGTTCTCACCCTCCTGGTACAGATTTAGATGACCCACTGAAGGCAAGGTGCTCTTGCCAAGGGGCATGGGAACACAACAGGCGACAGAGCGGGGTAGGTCTAGAAGCAATTACCTGAAGGATGTGACTAACTGGCAGACTGCCTGGCTGCTTCCTATTATGTGTGAGTTTATAGTTAATTCTTACTTATTTTTGGGTACCTGATCTTCCGGAACCCAGAAAAACAAAACAGGGTTGACTGAATATGGAAATGAGAACCAAAAAAAAATGTTCTTTTTTTTTAAACACTTATTTATTTTATTTGAAAGGCAGAGTTACAAACAGGCAGAGGCAGAGAGTGAGAGAGACTGAAAGAGAGGTCTTCTATACACGGGCTCACTCCCCAAATGGCTAAAACAGCCGGAGCTGGGCCAATCTGAAGCCAGGAGCCAGGAGCTTCTTCAGTGGTTCACATGCGGGTGCAGGGGCCCAAGGACCCAGGCCATCCTCCACTGCCTTCCCAGGCCAAAGCAGAGAGCTAGATCAGAAGCGGAGCACCTGGGACTCGAACTGGCATCCATATGGGATGCAGGCAGCAGCTTTTACCAGCTGTGCCACAGTACCACCCCCAAAAAATGTTCTTTTAAGAATTTAGTATTTTCCTTCTTTCACCAGAAAAAGAATTGGTGATATGTCATGAGAATTAAGAATAAGGAGAAGAATGGGATCTGACAGCTTTATACACTGACACATATATTAACAAAAACTGTTTGTTAATCATAGTTATTCATCTTCTGAAAAGCAGAGTGATTCTCTGCAAATTCAAAATCTAGCTGTATTATCAATGAGATGGCCTTAGCTTGAGAGTTTCAGACACTTTAGCCAACTCAGTGATACAAAATATTTAAGTAGTAATTTTGGAATAAACTTGTGAACCACTATGCATATGGATAAATGTAGACAAAAATTTATACAGAAAGTAATACATTAATGGAGTTAATAAATGCCTTTCTCAGTTCTTGATCTATAGACAATTTATTTTTTCTACTTTTTAAACAAGGAACTATGCTAGTAAACACCATTTATTCTACTGTATTTATTAGTGAAACATTTAAGTTATCATCTTCTGTTAGTCTTTTTTTTAATCCAAAGATAAAACATTTTTACTTTAAAAACATTAAAAGTATTTAACCTATGGACTTCGTTATTTTTTTCTGAATCCTATAGCATGTCTTTCTTCTCAATATTTATATCAGATTCAAAGACAGCCCTGAAGAGTCTCTAAGATGATAGTACATAGTTCTTAGATGCTCTTAAACGCCATTCACAGAAGGCCATTTCATGAAGAAGCTGAGTACTAGGTGTCTACATATAGAAATTGATAAATTAACTTGTAGATGAAGAGAGCATATTCATCTAATATACTATATATGAACCAGCCCCCAAATATATTTTTTCCTTTGAGTTATTCATGAAGTATGTATTTTTTAAAAAATTTCACAGGATTTCTTAGAAAGTAACATTCAATTTTAGTTATCTTAGCTTAGATGCTTGGGTGACTATAACTTTGTAAATAAGCAAGCTTCCAAAAGATGAAAGCTCCTTTAATGAAGAACTGACTGATAACAAAACTCCAGGCTGGATGATGCTATCTCCCAACCCATTCATCACAATACTCTTGATATAAAGGTAGTTAAAATGCAGTAAGAAAAATGCTGTAAGATATTAGGTTTCAGACTCGGGAAATTGCAAGGAAAGAAGAAACAATACATTTGGGGAAGGATATCACTTTTAAAAGCATTGGTCATAATCTGTCTAATCCAGTCAGTACTAAAAGACGAATTTCTAGAATTAAATATTCTCAAAGTTTTTACCTCAAACACCAGCATGGTAATGAAGAAGGGTAATGGAAAAGACTTATTCAGAGTTTTGCTCTAAATATGTCTATTCCAGGTGATATGGCCATCAGTTTTATCATTCTCTGCATCTAAACCTATCAATAAAGGTGCTTTGGCCAGAGCTCTGCTCTGGTTAGCATAACAGATTAGCAACTCAAATCCACTGCATTTAATTTTGTACTCAAGAGAGAAATAACACAATTTAGAGCTGGAAGGGGCAGCCCAGATACTCTAGTCCAACACCCTAAGCGTTCCTTATGAGGAACTTGAGGTCAGAGTTGAGTGCCCTATGGGCAGACAGAGTCTAACAGCAGAACCTAATTCTGAATTTTTCAAGGAAGATTTTATTTGTTCATTGTATAAATGTCAATATTTGAATCCGATCATTCCATGACACTTCATTCTATTAGAGGAATGTCTGGCTTTTTTGCATTTCACAGCATTCCTTGCTCATAAAATTAAAGATCCGTTGACTACTAGAATGAATATATTAAAATCTAGTTCTTATGTTCTCATCTCTGTAAGCTAAGGTGCTTAGTACTATATCTGTGATATATCAAGGACATCTTCTGGGTCAGAAAAATTCAAAGCTGATGCCAATTCTATATGTAGGGGGATACCTGGATTATCTATGTTGTATCAGACATTTTTGAAATGCTTAACCCCGCTCACTGAAGAGAGAGGACACAGCCTCAGTAACAAGAGCTCTTGCCAGCAGTGGCTTTTCTGGAAGCAGATCCCGAAGAGCAACACAGCAGCAGCTCTAGCAGCTGAATGGGGTTTGCAGGGAAGGGAAGTTTGAAGAGGAAAAAATGAGAGAAATCAGAAAAAGTCTCACTGCCCCTCCTCGAAATTCATGTTGTAGGTCTCATGAATTATTTCCTATTTTTGCATACCTGAGGCACGAGCAATACACATTCAGTGTAGATGTCAAATTCTAGCCCTGGTATGTGTGGTGGACACAAGGGCTCGTGGCATCAGTTAACCCTGTCACCAGGTCTTATGATATATCCTGTAACTCTCAAAAACAGATGTAAAAACAGAACTGACCATAGGCATCTCCTTCATCTAGAGGGAGTATCAATGATGGGTCCAAGGTGGGTAGATGGTGGGGCCAGGGCCTGGAGACACATGGGACATTAAGTCACCCAATTCCAATCTAGGCTCTGCCATACCTTGAGGCTCCTATACAGAAAACTCCCACCACTACCAGGAGTGGACCAGATGATATCTCAGATCTTCCAGGTTTATAATCATCTTCTCATCTCTTTTTATTGAGTGAGTAATCATTTAATTGTTTGCTAATAGGCAGAAATCTCCAAAATATCTAAAATTCTGCATGATAGTTTAGTTACTGAGAGCAATTAAATAGCAGCATAAACACAAAGATAAAATACATGTAATTCATGAAAACTCGGAAGAATATGATTATCTAAATGGAGATAATGGGGACATATACATATTCTAGGAGGGTATAAAACTTGTGTTTAAAATTGCTCAACCTGGCACCCAGGTGCTGGTATGTCCCACTCAAGGGGGTCCAACAGACACGCCAAAATAACAGGATGAATCAATTTCTAAATCACTGTTCCAACTCCCCAGCTAACTTCCAAACATGAACAAAATAAGCCCCCAAACATGGCATGAATGAATGTGTTAATTTTTTGTCTCTTCAAAATGAATGCAGTGCTTGTCCTTGGTATTTTGAAACAAGGGTATAATAGAAAAGGTTAGGTTAAAAGCAAGAAGAAAATATTAAAAGAGTCCTCACGAAACACTGGGGAATCTCTCTGGCAATGTTACAAAGGAAAAAGAATTGACCTTTGGAGCTTATGATGTGAAGCACATACCTCTTGAGAAATGTGCTTCCTTTGCTCATCTGAGAAAATCTAAATTCGATCCCAAATAAGCTTGCTGGGCCCTTTCTGGGGTCAAGAACAGGAGAGCACATGATCCGTTGCTTAGGTTTCTGCAGTATGCCAACCTGGAGGGAATTCAACTGGTGTACACACAAACATGAAGCTTACTTTTATTGTCTAGCTGAGCTCGATATTTACTGAATCCTTTCAGCCGTACTCGCTGGCCCAGAAGATCAAGGAATTCTTCAAAAGCTGGTCCTGCTGTCTCATTGTTATACATCTCTTCCTCTGTGCTCTGGCCCGCTTTGCAATAAAGGATCCCAATCTTGTGCTGAAAGCTCAGCTGAAATTGAGGGAGAAATGTAATTACTCGGCAAAGTCTATCAGACAAGCCAACTTCCAGTAAAATTAAAACTATACAAGCTTGGAGGTCTGTTCTCATAAAAGCACACCATAACAATTCCCATAAGCAAATGTTTGTACTTTTGTACATCTATCCTTGTACACAATGCTAAATATACCCCAAACCCAGAACCCAAGATACAACTTGGGAAACATCAGAAATCCTAAGAAGGAAAAGGTATGGTCATTGCCATGTGGGACTTGGCAGATTTCCAAAAAGGACAGGCAGTAAGGTTTAAGCCTCTACTTAAAAATACAACAGTAAATATTGATCCTACATACTCCACAGAGTAATCAGTACTACCTTTGGAGTTGGAAAGAAAGTGATCATGATATTTAAAGGTTTTCCTCTCTGATGTCTAATGAATTTTCCTTCTTTAATTTGAATATTTATGGAAATATGTAACACTGTAAGAAAGAAAATCAAATCAAATTAAAATCTGGTATGGAAAGAATCCCAATGGAAGTTGTGATATAAGTGGATAAAAAGAAAAAAATATTTTATGTCCCTAAAAGTAACTTCAGTTAAACAAGTAGTTATTTCTTACGTTTTTATTATCTTGAAAAGGAAGACATCTGCTAATTATACAATATACCATAAAGAATTTTAATAGCAACTGAAGAGTTCCCGCTATAATCCTCTCTCTCAGTCAATGTCATGCTGGAAGCCACAGAATTTCCCAAGGCCAGGGAGAAATGGGATCCATTTTTATAGCTCTCTTATTTCCCCAAAGAGGAACTACTTCTCACTCAGGCAATCACAGCTCTTAATCTTACTACCAGCAATCTGAACCTCAGAGACTGACCCATTATCAGACACCACTGATTCCCTAAAGACATCAATCCATAGCACTGTTCATTTTTAGTACTGAGCTGTAAAAAAGAGCCTTTAATCAAAATTCATAGCTGACTATAGCAGTAAAATAAGGCAAAATGATACTCATTTCCCTTGAGCAGCAAAGTGATGAAAGCAGTCTCATCTGTATTATCATCTAATGACAACACACAATGTGAGGCTAGCAGGAGACACCTGTGGGGTGACCTCAGCAGAATGCAGGAAACATCCATCTGATTAAGTGCTATGGGAAAATATAAAAGGAAGCATCACCTGTTTATAATCAGCTACCTGAAGGAGGACTGATGGATGCCATGCACTACAGAAAAGGCATGTGCCTCAGGCCCCCGTCAGAACCATGAGCTCCCCAATCACACACTGTAAGGTAATGAGTCCTACCTTAAGTGCGTGATTATGACATGGTGTGCACACGAGACTTGATTCTGGTGCATGAATTTTATTGAATTAGTTCTTTAGTAGTGTCAATAAAAAAATTTAAATTCATCCAGAGACAAAGGAATAAATGTTTTTCTGATCACCTCAATTACCCAAACTGCAAACTGATCATCATCCTAAAAAAATAAAGACCCTAATATTATTTCATAATAAATATTACTCACTCCTGAGTGACTTGGGACACACTTCAAGATCCAGCATCAGGGAAACATGATTGTCAACTATTACCCAGATGTTGGTGGTCCGTGATTGTTGGAATCAAAACTAAGTCTATGATATGGCCTCAGAATGACTGATTGCTTTCCACCCTTATCTTACATAATGCTTCACATCCGCCTATCAGTGTGGTTTTTCTTTCACTATTAGAACAGGATTTCAGCTCTCCAGTTATTCAGACCTTGCTTTAATGAGTCCCCCGTTAGTACTGTCAAATCTTTGGGCTCACACGCAGAACTGCAATACTTCTGCATTCTGATGCCTGCTGTTTCCCCTGTACCCGAAAGAGATCACCATTTATGAGCCCCACTCTGGAACCCACTCTGTCCTGGTGGCTGCTGTCCTTGTTGGCCCATGCCCTCCCTGTTCCTTTACCTGCTGCTCAATTCACAGAAACACCAGTGCCATCTCACCTGAGTACTATTATTGCCACCAAGGCCCCTGCCTGCCCCAGTCTGCCCTGTTGCCTCCATTAGGAAACCCCTTCCTCTTCTAGCATCCAGCTCTTTGTGGGGAAAGGCCTGGAGCAGAGCTGTTCAGAGCAACAGGGTTTGGGCACTGTTTTCTCATGCTGGTTAAGAAAAGCCCTCACTGCAGTGGGCCAGTTTCTCTAATTCTGCCAGGCTCATGGACTTCATCTCTCTCTCTCTCTCTCTCTCTCTCTCTATATATATATATATATATATATGTGTGTGTGTGTGTGTGTGTTTATCTGTTTGTCTATTTATCTTGTGAACTCTTATTCAGGAAAAGGTCAAATACTTAGTATCCCATATGTGATCCCTTTGTTGACTCATGGGTTATCAAATTCATACTTGTCTCCTTCCAGCCTCAGAAAAAACTAGCCTGTGTCTAGATCCCAACTGTGAACAGGATTTGTGTTTCCACCCAAAAAGTCCCTAGACTCATGGGAATCAGGCTGTGGCTCACACCGGCTTCCAAGTCCCCAGGGGTGCCGTGATAGCTGCCAGACTCTGGCTCTAGTACCATTAGGAAAACCAACAAGAACAACACCACCTGAAATAGAGTCAACCACTTAGAAACAATTTTTTAAACATTTTTAGTGGCAACTTATAAGAATTCTTTAGAAACTTGGAAGTTAAAATAAAGCCATTCAATCACTTTAGAAGTGAAGTAAACTGTATCTTTCTTTTTTCACATATTACAAGAATGAGATATTATTAAGTGTTAGGGATAAAATGTTTCATACTGTACTTAGGTTTGAACATAATTTCAAGAAAATATATCACAATCAATTATAAAATCTAAAGAAAAAGCACATCAAACACAACTAGAACTATTAAATACTGTTTTGTTTAAAAGCAGAACCCAATTTTCAAAATTAATTCTTTGATATCAGACTATAAATAGGTGTTCACTAAAAGTACTTCAGATGCACAGCTTCTGGATCTATTCAGCTCACAGATGTCTCAAATGCATGCTTCACTCTGATGAGACAGTAACTTCACCCCTCTGCAGAGAATCCCCAGATGCCTGGCAGTTGCCAGCATGCACAGCCTTGAGGGCCTCAGGGGCAAGTGGACCATCTATGGAATTATCTAGAGCAGCCTCAGGGGGACAAACACTTCACTCAGCAGGCACCTGCTGTGCAGCACAGGGATACATTCTAAAGGGACAACCAACATCTCAGAAACACAAAGGGACACTACTGTGTGAGAGGGAAGTCCTTCCACCCACTCCTCTACAACACAAAAATGAATGCTATTCTCATCCAGCCTGGGCCTGCTTGAACCCTGAGTTATGCCGACCAGTCTAGACACATCCTCTCCATCCTTCCACCACGTTTTTCTCAAGCGTTTCACAGACAGTTCATACATTCCACATGCTTTCCCAGTCAAGATCATGGCAAGCTTGTTCTGTGTGCCATACAATTTTAGAAGCCAACTGCTTAAGTTTGGAGTTTTGGCTGAATTGTCTTTAACATACTAGCTTTTATTCTTGAGGCAGACAGACACTAGGATTATTCACAAAGCCAACTTCCTTTGGCTAATGATGAATTAATCTGTTAGGCCAATTATCATTTCAAGGTTTTGTAATTCCAGCCAATTAAGGTTATCAAAGATTCTACTTCACCCCAGTATTACTGGCTCAACCAAGAAATATTTCAAATTCCCTTTAAAACATGCAAAAGAATTTTCCTTGGGAAATTTTATCTGTTGCTCCCCTCCCCCTTTTAAAAAAAAAGACTTAAAAGTAAATTTACTCATTTAAAATAAAAAATAAAAGAATTTGGGACCCTACCTTTCAGCTTTTTCTACAAGTTATTGTGCATTTGAAACAGAGCTCATCCCTTCCTCTGGGCCACAATCCCAATCCTATCCATCACCAATTCCCTTCTGGACAATAGTAATAATCAGATAATCAAGCTCCATATCACCATTGGTATCTGTTTTCATCAGCTTGCCCAATTGCCTTTCCCCAGAATATTCTTCCTAAATCGCAGCTCTGATCATGTCATATTCCGAAAACCTTCAATGGCTCCCTGTTCCCTGCTGAGTCAACTACAAGCTCCCTAGCCTAGCAGACAATGTGCCATTTGCTCTACCTCAACTTATTGGTTCCCCCTACAAATCTCCTTCTTCTTATGAAGAAACAAGACTAGTCCCAGTTCCTAAAAGAGCCAACTACTCTTCTCTCCCTCTTGGAACTCTATCCAAGTTTAAAGGCCCACTGAAAATGGCACCTCCTTCCGGAGTTTTGCCTGGCTGGACATTATTCCTTCTTTGCCCCCCACAGCACTCAATGTAAGGACACCTCTTCACCATCTCTTACGACACTGCCTTGCAGAGGACATTGTGCTCTTGGTCTTACTGTTCCCACAGCTAGGGACTAGGTCTTAGCTTTTAATCTTCCCAGCGTATGCTGCTCACACCAGGTTGTCAGCAGACGCCTGCCACACAGGGGACGAGAATAAATGTTGGTTCATGGAAAAGGCAGATGTGAGATTTTCAAACCTTGACAAAAACATCTCCAACTTCTACGAATCAAGGCATCAGATGTGCTCCTGCTGGTTGGAACTTATCAGAACCTTTATAACAACTCAGCAGGAGGTGTGCTAAGCTCCCAGGGCACCATGATTCTCAACTAGTAGAAAGGCAAATGGGGGGGGGGGGGTGGATTGGAGAATATGTTCTAATAAATGGTCTTAAAAGAGAAATGGATAGGAAAACTCCAAAATGCTTGGAAACATAAAATAAATTCACATACAAACATATAATCTTATACATCATACACACCCCTTGTTCATCAAGCTTGAGCAGCTGTTCGGGGACCTTGGGTGAGTTGGAAGCCTGCCGCAGGCACTGAATGCTCAGCTCTGGAATGACGTATTCTAGAACTTCTTTGAGCGGTAGGCCTCGTGCTGTTCCGTGCCTAGCAGTAGAGGGTATAGCGTCTTCTAAGATTGCTCCTCTCAGGGTGGTAAGCTGCAGTGGTGAAACATTAAGACTTCAGTTAATACTTATTCTTGGTTACCTAGTTAGAGTGTAATTGCTGATTGCCTAAAAAAGGAAGAAGACATGCAAGGCTCGTTTCTGAATGATGTAAAGAGACTGAAGTACTACATAGGAAGAAATAAAATCAACATTTAAACCATCTTTAATCAGTAAGAGTGTGCAGGCATTAGGAATAAATCAGGCAGGGTCGAAATCACCAGATGAAGCCCTAAGAGTGAGAACAACAAGGCACGGCAGGCAGTGCTTTGAAAATCAGGACATTCCTACAATGTTCTGCACCCCAATGGGAAAGACACTGAGAAGGACCCAGACATGATCTTCTTGGGCCCAATCATAATCACTCTTCTTCCAGTCTTTTTCTTTTTCCTATTTTCCCATTTTTCTTTATCTTTTCTTCCACTCCTTCTTTTACCTTCTTCGATTTAATTTTCCATGCTGGCCATTTCTGAGGCTGACTGTGCGTAGCACTGGCAGCCATGGCAGGGTGATTTGAGGTAGAGAAGAAAATCAGCCAATTTTGGCTCATGATTTGGTATACATCCTCAAATAGGCCACGAAAGCATAGGGCTGCCATAAGGAGCACAGGCCTCAGAGCCCACTGGGTGAGGAAAAAAAAACCCAGCACTGCAATTCCAGACAACTGCCTCTAATCCCAACTCCTCTGATTGTGCTAGAGACCCAACAACAGGAACTGTGATGGTGGCCACATGATGCCTAATATTTGCTGAATGGTCCATAACACTAGCTGAGAAAACTAAGAGCCATGATGAGAATGTCCTCTATCTTCACAAACATGGTAACACACAACCACACTAAGCACAGGGCACCTGAGAAGTGACTAGTGTGACTGAGGAAATAAATGTGTAATAATTTTATTTAGTCATTTTAAATGAATAGTCACCTCTGGCTAACGGATAATGAACTGGGCAGCACAGATCTGTAACTTAAGGTACTCTACTTCACTTGGAGAGAAGTCTTTATCCCTTATAGTGCCTTGGCCACTGGAACACTTATGCACTAGGTATGATACACAGGGGTATATTCACTTAGGAAGCTTCAGGAAGTGAGAAATAGGTTCTCTTCTCTAGAAATAGCCAAGCAGAGAACACATTCTGGAATATCTGACAAACATGTAACTGTCCAATTAAAATGGACTAAGGAAATAAAACCTGAGTGTAAGACTGAGACAACTTTTTATATAGCTCAGCCTATCTATTTAGTTAAGCAAACTGGGCCATTTGAAACAATCTCACTTTCACTCAAGACCAGCAAGGAAGGGCCAGCGCTGTGGCGCAATGGGTTAATGCCCTGGCCTGAAGCACTGGCATCCCATATGGGCACTGGTTCTAGTCCCAGCTGCTCCTCTTCTGAGGCAGCTCTCTGCTATGGCCTGGGAAAGCAGTAGAAAATGGCCCAAGTCCTTGGACCCCTGTACCCACGTGGAAGACCTGGAGAAAGCTCTTGGCTCCTGGCTTTGGACTGGCACAGCTCCAGCCATTGCGACCAATTGGGGAATGAACCATCAGATGGAGGACCTCTCTCTCTCTCTGCCTCTCCTCTCTCTGTGTAACTCTGGCTTTCAAATAAATAAATAAATTAAAAAAAAAATGACCAGCAAGAAAATAATCTAGGCCCTCAATATAACAAAGTGTGGGTAGACAGTACTAGTATCTTATAAGAGCACAAGTCAAACATTCACTTCATTACAGGCTGCCTGCTTTTCTCCACTAGATGTTGCAGTCATTTTTAAACCTCACCTGGACTGTATAGTGCATATTTATCCTCTCTTAGCCTTCCAAACCTTCCATTTTTATCATGTTATCCTTTACATCAGGTGGCAGTAAAATCATTGCCACTTAACAACCATTATAAGTCTCCAAATTGTTTATTTGAAATAAAATATTGCAACCTTGTTTTCAATGATGCTAAATGCTGTGATTATTAACATTAGAAAAATACATTTGAGATCCTAACACAAAGGAAAGCAATAATATCAAAAGTGGTTTAGACTTTCACCCAGGTAAGAATGCCAAGCAGCCCATTACCTCACTGGTCCTGAAAGCCACCCTATAGTTGAACTGGGATCCTTCCTTCTCCTTAGCATCTTCCACCTTCTCTCTCCGGATGCTGACTGCCACCGGGCCGAGGTTTTCATCGATTCCAAAGTAGTTTTGGTGCTCTACGACAGAAGATAGTGGTGGCATCAAAAAGAAAGAAAGAAACAGCGGGATGGCTATGTAGGAGTTAGGGCAGCAAGTGCATCTCAAGAAAGACCACACAGCTCAAAATCGATGATTTTCTTGGATGTGCTTGATCACATTTTCTGGTTTCTGTAAAGACGTATTTTTCTTCTCATTTTCGTGCTCTCTGTTCTCTGCTTCTGCTGTTCACTGACTCACAAGTGGCAGAAGCCTTCCCATCCCAAAGCTGTGATTTGCTCTTCTGTGACTTGCACCACAGGAAAGGGTGTCTTAGCATCCTTAGCGACCATCGCAAGAGGAACGGCGCCAACTGTAGGATGATGTTGAAAAGCTTCCACTCTGGGGAAGCGACCTTCTTTGACTGATAAAGGGCACCACTGTTACCTAACTAACTAGCTACAGTTAAATTAAACATCTAGATCAACAGTGAAGCGGCAAAGATCACCCTTTCATTACAACGTTACTGGGATACCAAAAGTCTAGTGAAATTTATCAACACGAAATACATATATGGTCATTAGGTGGTTAAGATCAAATTCTATCCTTAATTCCAATAACAGTTTACTATGCTATCAGTTTATCATTTTTTTCCCCACATAAATCACTAGTCCTTGAGACAGATCTAAAAATCACACAATCTGGGGCAGATATTTAGTCTAGCTGTTAAGATGCCTGTGTCCCACATCAGAGTCCTGGTTCAATACCCAACTCCAGCTCCTACTTCAGCTTCCTGCTGATGCAGACCCTGGGAGACAGTGGTGATGGCTCAGGTGATGGGTTTCCTGCCACCTGTGTGGAACACCTGGACTGAAATCCTAACTCCTGGCTTCAGCCCAGTCCCAGCCACTGTGTGCATTTGGGGAATAAACCAACAGATGAGGAGCTAGCAGGCTCTCTGTCTCTCAAATAAGGAAAATAATTTTTTTTTAAAATCACATAATTTCCTGATAGGCGTGAACCTCAAGGCCACCTTGTCCATCTAGCACAGAAATCCTCCAGGGGCTGGTGCTGTGGCGTAGTGGGTAAAACCGCTGCCTGTGGTGCCAGAATCCCATATAGGTGCTAGTTTGAGTCCAGGCTGCTCCACTTCTGATTCAGCTCTCTGCTATGGTCTGGGAAAGCAGTGGAAGATGGCCCAAGTCCTTGGCCCCTTTACTCATGTGGGAGACCCAGAAGAAGCTCCTGGCTCCTAGCTTCGGATTGGTGCAGCTCCGGCCTGTTGCAGAGTAAACCAGCAGGTGGAAGACCTCTCTCTCTCTCTCTCTGCCTCCCCTTTTCTCTCTGTGTAACTCTGGCTTTCAAATAAATAAATAAATCTTAAAAAAAAAAAAAAGAAAGAAATCCTCCAGGATATCCTTTCTAAGAGACGGTCATTAATTAGTCTCTTACTCAAATGTACAATAATAAGTGGCAGGCACTGTTTCAGCAGTGGAGACAAAGAAAATTCCAGAAAATAATCTCTGTTCAAGAAACAGATATCCTAATTTGAGCCCTTTCAATGATGGAAAGGTCACTGTTTTGTGAACAATTCTCTCTGGACTGCTGGACAAGGTTTCTTTTCAGTGAGTTCAGCTAAAAGTAATCAGAACTAATTCATTACAATCTTTAAATTTTTTAGTTTCCTCTGAAATCACCCAAACAACATGCAAGACATGCATAAAAAATAGGAGCAGGTACTTAAATTAGTGTTTAAAAATGTATCTATTTTTAGCAACCCCATTATACTCATAATTCATGCAGAGCAGGTGGTGGATGCAAACCCCAGGTGTTATTCATTTATTTCTTAATGCACCGCTGCCAGGTCAGTTCTCCAAGGTGTAGACTCATAAAATCAATTTTTTTTTCACTTTAAATGCAAGACATCACATTTATCCCTTTTGAATGTCACCTCATTGATTTTGGACAATCTTGTCTGACTCTGAGTTTTTAGTTTAAATAAGCACAAAATAAAGAACATGTATAAGCTTGAAAAACCTTCGTAGATACTCAAAAGGCTTTCGGTTATGGTAAAATGTTCTGCCAAATGGTTGCTGAGGAATAAGAAATGGTATAGAGAAAGCAGGAAACAAGATGAAGTCAAGAAAGGAAAACAGTGCCTGAATCACTCAGAGTGAACATGTACAAAGTCATTAATGAATATTGGCCAGGTCCTGAGAAGGCCACTCACTCACTGCTTTGCAGCCTGCAAAGCAAATAAGGTTAATTCTGACATTATCTCCCCTCAGGGCCAGTCATGACTAGAAGCGGCAAGTAAACTATTTTAGGGGCTGAAAGGTGAATGACTGATTTAGTGTAGTCCCAGAATTACATAAAAAGAAACCTATCTTTTTTTTTAATGAGAAATAAATGCATTCCTTAGGTATGTTGTAAACTGATAATGGCCAAGGTAACTTACAAACAAACAATTCCATTGAAATTAAACAAGCATTTAAAAAGTCTCTGCTTGAAGAGAGCTGAACCAGAAGCAGTTATTTGTGACTTCATCACAGCTTAAAAAACATTCAATGAAAACCAAGGAGACTAAGTTAATTGTCTACTTCAGACTACTTGGTATATTATCATTTTGTTACTTCTTTAAGTTGGCATTAGTGACTTCTAGACCCATGCATGGCATTATACTGGATCCTGTGGAAAATGCATCTTTGAATCCCATTAAGCTGGATGGTACTAATACCATCTTACATGTTAAAGGGATCATTTTAAGTGTGTAACTGATTATACAGATAGGAGTAAGTGTCAAAGGGATCATATAAATAAGACCAAGTGTCTGCTAACAACAATAGGTAGAATTAAAAAGGAGAGAATGATTCAGCATGGGAAGCAGGCCACATAACAGACTCACAGAATGAAAAATGCCCTAAACAGCATCTGGCCTCAGAATCAGACCTTAAGGCATTCGGATCTTGCTGAAAAGCCCATGAGAGCATTTCAGGCATGGAAAGCCAAGATATTGTGGCAAAAAATGACCTACATGAAGGATCTCTGTGAGTGAGAAGGGGCCATCAAAGAAGAAGGTACCGGGGATGGCACTGTGGCATAGCAGGTAAAGCTGCTGCCTGTTGTGCCAGCATCCTATGTGGGTGCTGGTTCGACTCCTGGCTGCTCCACTTCTGATTCAGCTCTCTGCTATGGCCTGGGAAAGCAGTGGAAGATGGCCCAAGTCCTTGGGCCCCTGCACCAGCATGGGAGAACTGGAAGAAACTCCTGGATCCTGGCTTCCGATTGGAGCAGCTCCAGCCGTTGTGGGCAATTAGAGTGAACCAGTGGATGGAAGACCTCTCTCTCTGTATCTCCTTCTCTCTGTGTTAACTCTGGCTTTCAAATAAATAAATCTTAAAAAAAAAAAAAAAAAACAGAGAGAGAGAGGGAGGAGGAGGACTGGCGCCACAGCTCAATAGGCTAATCCTCCACCTGTGGTGCCGGTACCCTGGGTTCTAGTCCCAGTCGGGGTGCGCATTCTGTCCTGGTTGCTCCTCTTCCAGTCCAGCTCTCTGCTGTGGCCCAGGAAGGCCACAGTGCTTGGGCCCTGTACCTGCATGGGAGACCAGGAGGAAACACCTGGCTCCTGGCTTCAGATTGGCGCTGTGCGCCGGCCTTAGCAGCCATTTGGGGGGTGAACCAATGGAAGGAAGACCTTTCTCTGTCTCTCTCTCTCTCTCACTGTCTAACTCTGCCTTTCAAAAAAAAAAAAAAAAAAAAAGAGAGAGAGAAGAAGGAGGAGGAGGAGGAGGTACCTTTCTCTGAAGGGAGGAGGAGAGAACTTCCACTTTGCTTATGGCCCTGTCTAAATACTGACGGATTTTTGTGGACTCAAGCCTTGGCAGCTCATGACAAGAGCCTCAGATGATCACTGACAGGAGTCACTGTGCATTTGCTCCCCATGTAGGACCTCTGTCCTTAATGAGTTGTACTAAGAGTATTAACAGGAAAACTTGTCTTCAAACAGTACTTTATGTGTCTGTGTGGGTGCGAACTGTTGAACTCTACAGAACTCTATAGAGTTGGTCTTCCGTATATAAAGATAATTAAAAAGGAATCTTAGTGAAGAATGGGATGGGAGAGGGAGTAGGAGGTGGGACGGGAATGGAGGTGGGAGGGCAGGTATGGAGGGAAGAACCACTATATTCCTAAAGCTGTACCTATGAAATCTATATTTATTAAATAAAAGCTTCCTAAAAAAAAAAAAAAAACCAAAATGCGTCTTGGAACTTAAAAGTCAATCAGTTTAAAATTTTCCTACTTGCAATTAGTCAACTCCTAACAGGAACTTTCATAACTACCTAAGTGAGTTTTCATAAGCCAAATGCATTAAGAAAAATATTTAGAAAATATAAGAACACACAACCAGTCAACAGGCAAAAGCTCCCTTCCTAAAACACACTTCAGGAAGCTATTTGCAAAAATATCCCAAACAGGTCCATAGTATGCATCTGATGAACTCTGCGGATTGAACCAAAAGAGCTGCAAATTATTTGAAGCAGAAAAAGAGTGACTAAAGCAATTCAAATGTTATGGTAGAACTGAAAGCCCCAGATTGTGTGATTCACAGCACTGCTTATAGTATCCGACAGCTGGAAGTGGCTACAGGGACAGAAAACAGATCCCCTGGTTCCAGGGCCTGAAGACAGGGCAAGGGGCTGACTACAGAGGAATACGGGGGAATGTTCTGGGGTGACGGAAGAACTCTCCATCTTGATTGTGGTAGTGCTTACATGTCACACATATTTTTCAGAACTCTGAGAACCACACACTAAAAAGGGTGAATTTTACTCTATGTAGATTACCTCCATTTATTTATTTATTTTATTGACAGGCAGAGTTAGACAGTGAGAGAGAGAGAGACAGAGAGAAAGGTCTTCCTTTTTCCATTGGTTCACCTCCCAGGTGGCCACTACGGCCGGTGCATTTCGGTTGGCGAGTTGTAAGGATCTGAAGCCAGGAGCCAGGTGTTTCCTCCTGGTCTCCCATGCAGGTGCAG